TTGGCCCTAATTAAGTGACATGTTATTTCCCAAAAATAAAAGAATTCCGTTCTTTTCATTAGCAGCCCCATATTACCAAAAAAAAAAAAAAAAAAGCACTTGGTCATTATTACTACACTGTGAATTTTGTCAATAAAATTTTGTGGAAATTTATTTTCTCTCATTATGTAAATGCCTACATAATTCTCAATTCTGCCTCTTGGCTGGCAAACACTAAAACATTTACTCTCCGGCCATTTACAGAAAGAGTTACCGGTCCTTTGTTTCTAAGCAGCAAAATGTGCACATTTCCCCAGAAATTCATTTTTAAAGTTTTATCTTTTTGTAAAAATGACACATGCTCATTGTAAAAATACATATTATCTAGGAGGAATAGGAAAAGAAGCTACCCTCATATTCCACTACCCAGAGATAAATGTTACAGATTTTGGGAGTACCTTCTAGACATGATATGTGCCAGTATTTCCAAAAATGTGCCCCTTGGAGCACTAGTTGCTCAAGTTGACCCTCCACAGACAGATTTGTATAATGTTTCTTGATAACATTTAAAAAACTCATAAACACGGGGCGCCTGGGTGGCTCAGTTGGTTAAGTGTCTGCCTTTGGCTCAGGTCATGATCCCAGGGTCCTGCTCAGTGGGGAACCTGCTTCTCCCTCTCCCTCTGCCACTCCCCCTGCTTGTGCTCTGTCTCAAATAAATAAATAAAATCTTAAAAACAAAACAAAACAAAACAAAACCCTCGGAACACCTGGGTGGCTAAGTGGTTAAGCCTCTGCCTTTGGCTCAGGTCATGATCCTGGGGTGTTTGGATCGAGCCCCACATCGGGCTCCCTCCTCTCCCACTCCCCCTGCTTGTGCTCCTGTTCTCGCTATCTCTCTCTGTCAAATAAATAAATAAAATATTTTTTTAAGATTTTTTCTTATTTATTTGACAGAGACATAACGAGAGAGGGAACACAAGTGGGGGGGTCGGGGGGAGAGGGAGAAGCAGGCTTTCCGCTAAGCAGGGAGCCCGATGCTCGGCTCAATCCCAGGACCCTGGGATCATGACCTGAGCTGAAGGCAGACGTCCAACGACCGAGCCACCCAGGCGCCCCTAAAT